TACCACAATACTTGGGTTATCTGTATCATCATCAGATGATGTCTGTCTCTATCTCCCAATTTATCCCTCCCCTCACTTATTCCCTGGTAACCACAAGTTTGTTTTCTCTTATTTTCTTTTCTGTGAAAGTTTTTTCTTAAGTAGTTTCTCTGTATATTACATCTAACATTAAATTTAAATTTGGTAAGTTGAAATACTTGGTAAGTGGGATAGTCATTTAGAGAACTGTGATTTGTCACTTAAAGTTTTACTTTGTCAAAACACCTGAAGAGATGTTTTTGTCAGAGTGATTTTTTAAAGAATAAGTTAAATATGCTTCAGAATATCTTATTAACATATAATAATAGAAAGTACCATTCTATTTTAAATGGACTTTATGTCTGAGTTTTTAGTAGGTTTTATGCTGTATTAAAATTATGTATTGCAGTCTTACAAATATGTACAGTATATATTATGAGCCACACATTGATGTCTTTTGTAACTTTTATTTTTATATCTGAAAGTTATTTTCTTTTTATCAACTCAAGAGTCCTCTTATTCGTGGTTGAAAATGAGAATTTTTGCTATCATAATTCAATACCTAGAAAATTGGTTATTTTATATAATAGGATACATAATACAAAATCAGGGATTGGATTCTTAATCATTATGCAAGTTTTATTTTTATAGTAATGACTGAATTAAGATTCAGTTTAGTTCAGTCGCTCAGTCATGTCCGACTCATTGCGACCCCATGGACTGCAGCACACCAGGCTTCTCTGTCCATCACCAACTCCCAGAGCCTACTCAAACTCATGTCCATCACGTCGGTGATGCCATTCAACCATCTCATCCTGTCATCCCCTTCTCCTCCCACCTGCAGTCTTACCCAGCATGAGGATCTTTTCAAATGAGTCAGTTCTTCACATCAGGTGGCCAAAGTATTGGACATTCAGCTTCAGCATCAGTCCTTCCAATGAATATTCAGGACTGATCTCTTTTAGGATGGACTGGTTGGATCTCCTTTCAGTCCAGGGGACTCTCAAGAGTCTTTTCCAACACCACAGTTCAAAAGCATCAATTCTTTGGCACTCAGCTTTCTTTATGGTCCAACTCTCACATCCGTACAGGACTACTAGGAAAACCATAGGATTGACTAGACAGACCTCTGTTGGCAAAGTAATGTCTCTGTTTTTAAATATGCTGTCTAGGTTGGTCATAGCTTTTCTTCCAAGGAGCAAGTGTCTTTTAATTTCGTGGCTACAGTCACCATCTGCAGTGATTTTGGAGCCCCCAGAAATAAAGTCTGTCACTTTTTCCATTGTTTCCTCATCTATTTGCCATAAAGTGTTGGGACCAGATGCCATGTTTTCTGAGTGTTGAGTTTTAAGCCAACTTTTTCACTCTCCTCTTTAACTTTTATCAAGAGGCCCTTTAGTTTTCCTTTGCTTTCTGCCATAAGGGTGGTGTCATCTGCATATTTGAGGTTATTGATATTTCTCCAAACAATCTTGATTCCAACCTGTGCTTCATCCAGCCCAGCATTTCACATGATATACTCTGCATATAAATTTAAATAGATAGGGTGACAACATACAGCCTTGACATACTCCTTTCTCCATTTGGAACCAGTCTGTTGTCCCATACCCACTTCTAACTGTTGCTCCTTGACCCGCATACAGATTTCTCAGGAGGCAAGTCAGGTGGTCTGGTATTCCCATGTCTTTCAGAATTTTCCACAGTTTATTGTGATCCACACAGTCAAAGGCTTTGGCATAGTCAATAAAGCAAAAGTAGTTGTTTTTCTGGAACTCTCTTGCTTTTTCTATGAACTCTCTTGCTTTTTCTCTTGGCAATTTGATCTCTGGCTCCTCTGCCTTTTCCAAATCCAGCTTGAACATCTGGAAGTTCATGGTTCCTGTACTGTTGAAGCCTGCCTAGGAGAATTTTGAGCATTACTTTGCTAGTGTGTGAGATGAGTACAATTGTATGGTAGTTTGAGTATTCTTTGGCATTGCCCTTTGGGACTGGAATGAAAACAGATCTTTTCCAGTCCTGTGGCCACTGCTGAGTTTTCCAGATTTGCTGGCGTATTGAGTGCAACACTTTCACAGTATCATCTTTTAGGATTTGAAATAGCTCAACTGGAATGCCATCACCTCCACAGCTTTGTTCCTAGTGATGCTTCCTAAGGCACACTTGACATCCCTATTCCAGGATGTCTGGCTTTAGGTGAGTGGTGACACCATCATGGTTATCTGGATCATGAAGATCTTTTTTGTCTAGTTCTTCTGTGTATTCTTGCCACCTCTTCTTAATATCTTCTGCTTCTGTTAGGTCCATACCATTTCTGTCCTTTATTGTGCCCTTCTTGGCATGATATGTTCCCTTGGTGTCTCTAATATTCTTGAAGAGATCTCTAGTCTTTCCCATTCTATTGTTTTCCTCTATTTCTTTGCATTGATCACTGAGGAAGGCTTTCTTATCTCTCCTTGCTATTCTCTGGAAATCTGCATTCAAATGGGTGTATCTTTTCCTTTTCTCCTTTGCCCTTAGCTTCTCTTCTTTTCTCAGCTATTTGTAAGGCCTCCTCAGACAGCCATTTTGCCTTTTTGCATTTCTTTTCTTGGGGATGGTCTTGATCACTGCCTCCTGTACAATGTCATAAACCTCAGTCCGTAGTTCTTCAGGCACTCTATCAGATCTAATCCCTTGAATCTGTTTGTCACCTCTACTGTATAATTGTAAGCGATTTGATTTAGGTCATACCTGAGTGGTCTAGTGGTTTTCCCTACTTTGTTCAATTTAAGTCTGAATTTGGCAATAAGGAGTTTATGATCTGAGCCACAGTCAGCTCCTGGTCTTGTTTTTGCTGACTGTATAGAGCTTCTCCATCTTTGGCTGCAAGGAATATAATCAGTCTGATTTCGGTGTCGACCATCTGGTGATGTCCACGTGCAGAGTCTTCTCTTGTGCTGTTAAGGTTCTCATACTTGCACCCTCTACCCCCACAATCTGGAGTTGAGGCAGCAAGTGGCAGAAAGTCATTAGAGGAAATTATTTTTAAGCTGAGATATGGAAGTTGAATTAGATTTATCCAGATAAATTTGGGATAAGAATGTTGAGGGTGGAAATGGGTTGTACTGTACTAGCTAAAGTTCAGTCATGAATTATATACCCAAATATTTGAAGTCCTGCATCTAAGAGAACTCTTTACAGGAAAAAAGAAAAGAGAGAGAAAAAAATGAAAACAAACTAGTAAACAGAATTAGTTTGGACTGTATTTTATGAAATTTATTGAGTATTCTTTTATTCTTGAAAACCTATTTCTATATATTTAGTAAACCAAGTCTTATGCATTTCACACAGCTCTTTATTTCTTATAGATGATTTTTTTCCTGTTCATTCATTGCTTTGGCAGCTGTACCAAAATTTTTCTAAATTCTTGCAGCATAACTAAGAGTAGAAATCTGTTCAATTATTGAAAACTTATTATGTACTCAATAAAGTGTGATATGTGCTGTGATATGTGAAGGAAGAGATGCTGTGAGAATCTGTAGGCAAAGGCACTAATATTATCTGAGTGGGGGCCGGGTTAAGAGCAGGCTTAATAGAGGTGAAGACCTGAATGGTGAGTATAATTTATTCAGATGACATAGGAATGAGTATGTTGGGATAAGAATAGAGCATGGAGAGTTTACTCCAGATAGAGAGTTATATATTTAGATATGTATGTTGAAGAAACTCTGAATAATGATAGCTGTAGTAAAAACTATCAGTTATTGAATGATTATTATCATTGTGTCACTGTTCAAAGTACTTTACATCTTTAATTTTTATAGCAATCACATAAAGGAGGTATTATTATTCTACTTTTATTGACTGATTTTAACTGTCCTTTATGGATAATATAATATATAGTTATCTCCATTTCTCCTCATTTGGTCTAAATTTTGGAGCTTTGGTATTATTTTGTTTTTTGTGAGTCAGATGTGGCCTGTGCTAAAAGACCAAAAAATTATGGCATTTTAACTTGGCATTAAAAAAAGTAATTTACTAAAGTATGGTATGTATGGATGATCAATTTATGACTGACCATTAAAGTTAACTTATTATTTCAAGTTTATGAGAAATATCAGGGACAAAGAAGAATGTAATTGATATGATGAGAAAACAGTAAGACCAATCTAGATTGTGACACATTCCAGAAGACATCTGCCCTGGACTGCTCAAAAAAGCCAGTATGGAAAAGAAAAGGAGAAAAGCACTCTAGATTAAGCTATACAGAAAGAGACATAACAACCAAATGTAATGCATTAATTTTTAATGGATTCAGGATTTACAAAGCTATAAAGACATTTTGGGGGATAATTGGAAATTTTGAATATGGGCTAAGATGATATGAAATATTATTTTTAGTTTTCTCAGGTGTCATAGGGGTATTGTGATTATGTAAGAGAAGGTTCTTATTCTTAAAAAATTCATAGTGAAGTATTTAGGGTGAAATATGTTTGGAAAAATTACAATATAATAATTTCTATTAATTTTATTTTGCTAGGTCGTTAATGGGAGTCCCAAGTATCAAAGATTTATAAAGTGCTTAAATATAGCTTACCTTTTTTTTTGAACTTTTTATTTTATTTTTTAATATAAATTTATTTATTTTAATTGGAGGCTAATTACTTTACAATATTGTATTGGTTTTGCCATATACCTTTTTTTTTTTAATCTGCTATTTCCCCATCTGACTTATTGATTTATTTATTTACTCTATCTTCATTCCTATCCTCCACTAGAATGTCAGTTCCATGAGGACGGAGACATTTTGTTATTCACAGCACTTAGGATAGTATCTGGCACATAGAAGGCAATAATCAATATTTGTTGAGTAATCTAGCGAGTAAAGATAACCAATCTCAAGCAAATCCACCATTTCTATATAAATCATGTCTTTAATTTTTAAAAAATCACTCTTGGCACTGTTAACCAAAAATAATAATAGACTGTTCCTTATGTTTCAGGGAAGTTGGGAAAAAAGAATTTTGAAGAGTTTAAATAGTATGTGCACTGAACTGAGTATCCCATTGGCACGAAAGGTACTTTTAACACTTAAGTATTTTATTGTGAATCATGTACTAGGAAGTATCATGAAATTATAACTGTTAGGCAGATTTATCTTTTTCTGGTGACTGGTATATAGCTTTTTGAAACCAAAGTCTATAAAAGGTCAATTATGTGGGTGTAGTTTATACAGTTTTCTATTACATATGCTATAATGCTTTTTGTAAAAAAAAAAAACAACAAACCTGTATCTTGAGAATAAATATAGGCTGTACAGTACAGATTATTTGGAGATTTGTCTGTAAAGGTTATAAGTGCACTTTAAAATTTTTAATTACCTTTAGTCTCCTTACTTGAAAGATTTATTATCTCTCCAGAACTATTTAGATCTAATGCTCAACATTTATCTGTAATTCTGGGCTTTGATAGGGGAGAGATGAAAAAGGAGAGAAAAGCCACTTGAGGAATGTTCTGGATCTTTTATAGCTGTTCAAGAGTAGGAGAGAACAAGTTTCTCTTCACTTCATCCTCCCTACCACCTATTTATTCCCTGCTGTTGGACAAGATATAGTGAATGTACATTGGATAATATCCAAGCACAAGTCACTGAAGGCACCAGAAGGATGGTGTAAAAAAAGGATAAATTTATATGAAAAACTGTCTAAATATGTAGTATTGTGTAATATACTGTCTTTCATATAGGAAGATGATGCTACTGACTCACAGTCACACTCTCTTGGCCAGCCCCCTTGTGATGCATTTCTGAGATTGCTGGATGGGGTAAGAGATGTAGTATGTGGCTGAGGAGCAGTTTTTCTTTGTGAAATTTTACTGGCCAGTACATAGCATTTACCTTCTATTTTAGACTCATTAGCTCCATATTCTAACTGAGCCATTAAGACTATGTACAACGTAATAGCTAAATAATATTAAGTGTAATTCCCAGAAAAGCTAATCATATGTAATGAAATTATTTTTTCTTATGGTAGCTTATATAAGCTTTTAGATAAGGTATTGATTCTTATTTTTCAGCTGCATTGCTTAACTTCACAAAACGAAACCAATTTTAAAATTACCTTTTTTAGAGGCCAGTTGGAGAACAGAAAGAACTTCTCAATAAATGGAATGAAATGGGAACCGATGAACCAGGTGCATATGAAAAAAGTATTTTCAAAGTGTGGTAGTGGGAAAAAAAATTGTCCTCTTAATTGTGGATCCAAAATAACAACAGTAACAAGTATTTTTAATAGCAACTTTCCCTTCTCACTAATTTATTATCATCTGTTATTTTTTTCCCTAAACTTCTACTTTGCAGTTTAAAAATTCCCAGCTTTAGTCACTGTTCTCCGTTATTTTGAGAATATTTAAAGCAGTTATTTTTTAAATCAGCATTTGAAAACATTTTTATGAAAGAATAAGTTAGAATCATTCAGTGGATTTCTTAGGCTCATAGTTAAGATAAATCTCAAGCTTTAATTACATTGAGATGTTAAAATATGTTACATTTTGAAGTTTTAAGACTTCTAAAATGTTTTTGAGAATTTATTTTGGTTCATCTTAATGTTTAAAATTGAGTCTATCAATTTTAAAAACATTTAATGAGTGACAACTGTGAAATATTTACTGTGATAAATATATGTGTAAAATAATTATTGATATATATATAAAATAATTGTTTAGGTAGACATGTATATAATTCTTCACCACTCCTTCTTAAAAAAAAAGATGGGGCCTGGGTAGGGTGCAAGAAATTTTTAGCCATCATAAAGGAAGCAGTGTGTTATAGACGTTCAAAAGGGAGAGCAGTTCAGTACAACCACAAGATTCACTGAGAATTTATTGTTTGTGTTCTAAGTACTTTGAGAATTCTCATGTAGAACTTTCATATTATATTGACATTGTTTTCCAATTCAATTACTAATGTTCCATTACAAATTTATAAAAGAGAGGACTCTAATTTCTTCTAGAATATGTCATCTAGACTGTCAAAGGAAGGGACTTTCTATTTTTGTTAGTACAGTGCTTAACACAGTGTATGACAAATAATTGACATTCTGCAAATGTTTGAATTAACCTAGCTGCATAACAATATGAAAGAACCATTATAATTTATTATTAATAAGAATTTGTATATTATAACTGAAATTCTGTTTTAATCTGTCTTATTAATTCTAGATTTAAGCCTTTTCAGACCTGTTTATGCACCTAAGGACTTTCTTGAGGTAGGTTCTATTGGCTAAATATATATATATTAATGAGGTAAAAATGCAAAAGAAATAAAAAGCATCTCCAGGCAGAAGAATCACCATGGAAGAAGCCCCAGAGCCATGAGAGCAGTGGAATAACCTGATCAGATTTGTGTTTGGAAATTGCTCTGGGAAAATACGTTGTAGTGTGGAAAGATTAGAGGGAAGTAAATCAAGAAGATTTGATTAAAAAATGGAGACTAATCATGTAGCCTGCTGGCTAGCACAATAGGTGCTCAATGAATCTTTTCCTTTTTAATTTTTCTCCCTGTTGTAGTAGTTCAGGCAAGGTATGATAAAGGTTTGGACTCAGAGAACAGCATTCAAAATGGAAAGACATCAACAGACTTGAATTTAACAAGATGTGAATTTAACAGATTTTTTTAAAGATTTGGAAATTTATTATATCTAGGGAGTATGAGAAAAAGAAAAGATAAAGATGACCTTTAAGTGTCTAGATTGGATAACTGGGCAGAGTTAAGATACAGAATACAGAAAGAGACACAGGTCCACTAGTAAAGGTGATACACTTAATTAAGTTTGAGAGGCGTATTGACATTGAAGAGGAACTCTTTAGTAGGCAGTTAGAACTCACTAATTATTTTAATTCACCCATCTTAGATTCCATTTTTTTTCTCTTGTACCTTATATGTAACCCACCAGGAAATCCTTTCAGCCTTACCTTTGAAGTATGTCCAGAATCCATTCACTTCTCATCACCACCATTCTTATGTTGCTGATTCAAGCTGCCATCTCTTGTCTGGACTATTTCAGCCTCTTAATTGCTCTTATTGCTTCTACACTTCCCCACCTAGAATTTGTTTTTAGCAGAGTTTCTAGAGGAAGCCTTGTAAATACTATTCTGAAGAAGCCATTCTTCTGCTATCCAGTGGCTTCTTATCTCATTCTACTTAAAACCCAAGTCATGACAGTGGCCTAAAACACCCCATTTGATCTGATACCTGTCAGCTCTCTGAGTTCATCTCCTGTTACTTTTCCTCCTGATTTGTTCTACTTCAGCAGCTTTAGCTTGCTTACCTTCCCCTGGCTTTCTCCCCTTTGAGGGTCTTTGCTCCTTGTTTTCTCTGCCTGCATTGCTTTTCCTTGAGATGCTTGTGTGTCCATTCCCTCACATTCCCTTATGTCTTTGCTTAAATGTCATATTCTCAGCATAAACAATATGGTCAAGAGTACTGTAATAACTTTGGAGGGATACAGACTTATGGTGGTGATAATTTCATAATGTATGCAAATGTCCAATTACTGTTAGTACAGTCTGAAACTAACAGGTGTAACTGTGCTTAGCACATAGTTGCTCAGTAAATAAGTGTTGAGTGAATGAGTAAATGAATGATTTAATCTTTTGCATTTCATTTTTTTTCTGAACCTGCTTTCTCAGATACAAGTTTGCCAGCATTGTTAGAAATTATTTTGGGCCTCTTAGAATTATAAACAGTCTCCTTTTAACTTAAAAGAGAAGTTGCTTTGGTTTGAAACTGCCTCTATACTGCTAGTGTTATTTCTCTTAGATTATTAAAGGTTTCTCTCAAGCTCATTCCTTTCCTAGCACTTAAATTTCATATAATTTTTAAAGAATTAACTTTGTGTTTTCTCCTTAATAATCATAGCACTCTGTTTCCTTAAGGAGTGTTGCTGAATTGATTCTTTAATTAGTCATGCTGAGAGTCTTCTTTAGCTAAAGAAAATTTTTCTATAATCACTTCCTTATAGTTTCTGCTTTTCTAATATTTTTTTCTTTTCTATTGCCCATATAGTCATAATTTTTCTTTTCAATTCTATGTTTTTAAGTTTTCCATGCACTATGATCCCTTATTTTCATAATTGGACTAAAATTGTTTTGTGCTACTATATTAGTCTATATTTAACACTGTTGGTTCTTTTCTAAAACATTTTTTTTAAATAAATTCCTTTGATATTTTTAGCTTCAATATAGTGTTTGAAATTTTAGAAAACTCTTTTGCACTTGTGGTATATTTCATTTTGTCAGCCATTAGTTATCAGGTTATTAATACCTTCTTCAGATATGCTGGTGTTTCTGTCATTATAATCTTCACTGAATTCTTGGCTTCTTTCCCTTCAGAATTGCAATTTAAAAATATTTTTGAAAATTATTGTTTTCTCCCTAAAATACATGTTGCTTTAAAAACAAGAAAACATATATAAGAAGAAAATTTAAAACAAAACTCACTCATAATATCATCATATAGCAATAAACACTACTGTAATTTTTAATTTAATAAACATTGTGGTGTTTATTAATTGTGGCATATTAAACTGTATTTTATGTAAATTTAACATAATATAGGTAATTTTCTCTACTGGAATGTTTAAGTAGTCTTAAACATCTTAAATGTCTACTATTGAATGTCTTAAAATGTTGAATGTATAATATTTTTCTGTTATAAACAACACTTCCTTTACCTTTTTTTTCTGCACTATCTCTGCAAGCAGTTTTAATTATTTCCATAATCATACTCATAGAAGTGAGATTCCTAGATTAAAAGATATGCAAATATCCAATATTTTTATTTTTGAAAAATATTTCCTGTTAGTTTGGCTTCTGAAAAATTTTTTTTTTACCTTTGGATTTGATTTAGAAGCAATACCTTATGATGTTATTCCACTGTCTTTCTATAAACTTTTCAGCATCTATTTTTTTTTCCATTTATTTTTATTAGTTGGATGCTAATTACCTTACAACATTGCAGTGGTTTTTGTCATACATTGAAATGAATTAGCCATGGATTTACATGTATTCCCCATCCCGGTCCCCCGTCCCACTTCCCTCTCCACCCGATCCCTCTGGGTCTTCCCAGCAGCATCTATTTTTAAAAGAGTTAGAGTTGGTTCTGAAGTTTTCCCTGGCAAATACTGAAATCAAGCAGTTTAAATTTTTCTGTCATTTTTCCTTGTAAAATATTATACTCAAACAATTTTTATTTTTTCTTAACATCAAAAAGTTTTTCTTTCTAACTGAAATTTTAACTTTTTAGTATTTTATTTGATAGATTGTCTTTTGGAATATTAAATTGAAAACATGTTTATGGTATCTTAACATTTTAACACAATTTTATAGCTTTCAGAATGTAATTAAAGTATATGCATAACCCAAATAGTTTTTAATTTTGTGATGATATACTAAGAATATCACTGCCAATTTTATAAGTGTAAATTTTGTATAAAGAAACTAACAGTTTCATTGGATTTGTTTTTAAAGGTATTAATTAATCTTCGCAACCCAAATTATGAAAATGGTGATTCTCTTAGTTTCCGGACTCATTTGGGTTTAATCCAAGTTCCTCTCAAAGTAAAAGACATCCCTGAATTGGTAAGTGTAGGTACTTAAAAATAAATTAATGTATTTTAGAGGGTAACCATTTGAAAAAAACTTTAGTTCAACATGTATCTAAAGTAGTAGGACAATCTGCTCATTAAATAAATGAATAAAGTGAAAATTTTCTTTTTTATTGTAAATATGTTCTATAGAGAGTGAGTTGCTTTGCTAGTGGGATTAAAGGTGACCTTTCATTGACCTATAAATGTTTTTGCTTATTTCTTATTTCAATAAACAGCATAGACTTTAAGACCTGTTATTGGGATTTAGGTGCCTGATGTATAGCTATAAAACTGATTGAAACAAATTGTGAATTTTATTAAAAAATTTTAAGGAATATACATTTCTTTTATTTAAACCAACCTTTTTTAAATCTCTGAATATGGAAGACACTGAGGGAGATAAAAGAACATAAGATGAGTTAAAGACTATCTTTGCACTGCAGATTGTCACATTTTGGTAGGGAAATTAGTTTTTAAATAGAATAATTGTAGGAAAGTGGAGAGATTTCCTTACAAAGAAGTTAGTTAATTATCCCAAAATAGTAAGGAGCACAGAAATGTAAATATTGCCTTTGGTGAAACTGAGAAACAACTAAATTTTAAAATATTAAGACAGAGAACTGATGGAAGAATGAGAAATGACTCAGACTTGAAGAAGGTCAAGCCTTATTGCTTCTGAAAGGTGGGAGGTATGCATGAGAAGTGTGATGGTAATCAATTTATTACCTTTCAGCTCCGAATCTACCTTTTTAAAAAACTGAACTATGGTTGCTTTACAATATTGTATTAGTTTTAGGTGTACAGTAGAGTGATTCAGTTACATACACACAGATACACACACACATGTTGTTTTTCAGATTCTTTTCCATTATAGACTATTACAAGATACTGAATATAGTTCCCTGTGCTATACAGTTAATCCTTATTATTCATCTGTCTTACATACAGTAGTGTATATATGTTAATCTCATATTCCTGATTTATCCCTGCCTCCCTCTTTTCCCTTTGGTAACTGTAAGTTTGTTTTCTAGGTCTGTGAGTCTATTTCTGTTTTGTAAGGAAGTTCATTTGTTTTATTTTTTGAGATTCTACATATAAGGATATAGTATTTGTCTGTCTGACTTACTTCACTTAGTATGATAATCTCTAGATCCATCCATGTTGCTGTAAATGGCACTATTTCATTCTTTTTCGTGGCCAAGTAATATTCCTTTGTGTATCTATATACCACATCTTCTTTATGCATACATTCATCTGTTGATGCACACTTAGGTTGCTTCCATGTCTTGGTTGTTATAAATTGTGCTGCTATGAACTTGTAGTGTGTGTACATTTTTGATTTAGAGTTTTTGTCTTTTCTTGATATATGCACAGGAGTGGGATTGCTAGATCATATCATGAGTCTATTTTTAGTTTTTTAAGGAACTTCCATACTGTTTTCCATAGTGGCTGCACCAAATTACATTCCTACCAACAGTGTAGGAGAGTTCCCTTTTCTCTACTCCCTCACCAGCATTTATCATTTATAAACTTTTTGATGGTGACCATTCTGGCCATTTGTAGTTTGCAAACCTACCTTTTTTTTTTTAACCCTGTTTTATTATACTGGAGCTGGACCTTGTAGACATTTCCTTTTTGCCAACTAGCTTGACATTAGGCTTTGTCAGTAGAGGATTCTGGAAAGACATTGCAAGACCATAGTAGGATAAAGGGACTTTCCATGTACAGAAGCCAGCAGATCAGCAACAGAAGACCCAGTAGGATTCACCTTGGCAGCCCTTAGTCAACCAGCTCCAGCCTGTATTCTCTGGCAAGATTGTTCTTCACCTCTGGCCTGCATGTTCCTGGGGCAGGCACACCCTCTCTTTAAAAGTCTGAATCTCAGTCTTGAGGACATGGGGGACCTTTCCTGAGTTCTTAGTTCTTTGGTTCACTCTCCTTCAGCCTAGAAGCCATAGTTGCTTTCTGCACTTGTTAATTCTGTTTGTCCCTGTTCACACTTCTGATATGGTTTCTGTTTCTTGACTGGATTGTGACTGATACAAGAAACCAGATGATTTTATCCCTGAAAGTTTGCAAAGAATCAGGAATTGGAGATAACCACATGTATAGAAGGCATTGAGGAGACATAGAGCTGAAAATGGAGATTGTATAAAACGGTTTAGACTCCCAGACTTGTCCCATCCTTCATTTTCTGGTGACTCCTCCTCCCCAACAGGAGACCAGAGGTGTATATAATCATTGCAGAAAGGCCATGAACTCAGAGACCTCAAATGTAGAGCTGAATAGGAATGAAGCATTGTATTGAAAACAGAAGAATTAAGTGAAGGTTGACCAAAAGAAAGAAAGCAAAAGCTGGCTCTCTATAAAAATTTTTTCAGAGTAAAGCCCATCATACTCTGCCCAGGCCTCAAAGACAGAGCTTCCAGTCAGTTGTTCATTGCCTCAATCTGAAATATGACTGACCAGCCTAGGCTCTCCAGATACTTGAAATTTTACAATTTGAAAAGCACAGCTCAAAACTAAAACAGACCCTGCAGAGAAAAATAAGGAAGAAGAAATAGCCAATTTATGAAATGAGTAATTTTTATGACCACCAATATAGTTACTTCAGGTTTGAATTTACATCTACACTCGCAAGATACAATAGGCCGAACCTGGTGTAAGGTTCAATTAGATTTGTAGAGAGATAGAAAACAGAAAATGTGGCATGTCAATATATCATGTAGATCTTCATTGGAAGTCCTTACAGCCTACCAGCTGCTACTTCTCAGCCCCTACAAGGAATGCTTGCAAGTGGAGGTAACAAGGTTACATAGGCACAGCATAGGAAAATCTCATGCGCAATAGGAACCGTTTCTTGTAATCCATATGAGCACAGTTTCCAAGTCCTGTGTTTTCCAATAGGTTTCTATGGTCCACTTATAGTCCTCCATTTCAGATGAAATTTACCAGTCAAGTGTCATATTTTTTTTTTTCAGTAAATTACATTGCTGGTTATGTAGCTGGCTTTCCTCTCTGCAATTTTTTTTTTTTTCATAATCCAGTACATTTTCAGGGCAACAGTTCTGAGAGAAGGTAAATCCAAAGTAATCTTCACATGGACAAAGAGGTTAATCTTTTGTTAACTGTATCTTTCCAATAGAAGACTTAAAACAAACATTAATATTCTCAGAGAGAAGATATTACTCATGAAACAGGAACAGAATTTCATTAGAACAACAAAACAAGACATTAGAAAGTGAAAAAGAACTTTTAGGAATCAAAAATATGATGTGCAAAAAAAATGAGTAGAGAGTTAGGGAAATAAAAAATATGGTGTACAAAAAAAGTCAGTAGAAAGCCCAGGAAATCTCTATCAGAAGACAGTATAAAAGCAAAAAGCCAATGAGATGAAAAATAAATGGGAAAAGGTCTTTTTAATTAGATGGTCAGTCCAGATGGGCTGACACCTGGCCAGTAGGATTTCCAGAAAGAGAATACAGAAGCCAAGGAATTTAAAAAAATTTTTAAGAACTGAAAGACAGGAATCTTCATTATGAAAAGACCTACCCTAGTACCCAGTTCTATGAATGAAAGAAGACTCATAGCAAGGCACCTGAAAAGAAGATGACTAAAAACTTTTTATGGAAGAATAGAGTATATATAATGTTCCAGGCATCAGAGTGGCATCTGAGTTCTCAGCAGGAAGACTGGAAGCCAGAGAATTTTTAAATAAAGCCTTTAAAAATCTGAATGATTTCAAGCCTAGAATTCTGTATATAACCACCAGTCAGTTAAATGTGAAGTTGAAGTATCTGTTTTCAGATGTACATGATCTAAAATATTCTAATTCATGGAGCTATTGGTAGAAATGCCCTAAAACAAGATCATAAACAAAAAGAGCAAAATAGAGGATCTAGGAAATGGGATTTCCAACCTAAGTGTAGAATAAGTTCCAGAATGCCAGTGGAGAGAATTTCCAGGCCAGTCTGTGCAACAGGACCAGAGCAGAGCAATCCATATTGGAGCAGAAGCTTGTAGGGTTCCATGATGAAAACTGGCAAGAAAAACACCAAAAATGTAGGTGATCTGACGATGTGCTAACCACATGCAAAATTGTTGTGGAGGGTCTTTTCAGAGTTGTGAAAGGGAGGAGGAAGAGGTAAATAGAGAAAATGCATAAGTGAAAAAATGATTTAATTATGAACTGTATGGAAAAAGTACAAGAAAGGAAACATTTATAGCATACTACATTCTTCAGCAGTGAGTAATATTTAAACAATAATAACAAACTCTTAACATAGATGTAATTAAGCATTGATATATACTTATATTGGAATGATAGAGGGAAGAAAAGAGAATGTACTGTGCTAAAAATCCACATTTATCACTAAAAAAATTTAATAGTTATTTAAAACTGCTAAATTTAAAATAGCAGAATGTACCTGTTACTTGAAATACAGACATATGTTTGTTTGTTTGTTTGTTTGTTTTTTGGCCATGCTGCATGTTTTATGGGATCTTAGTTGCCCAGCCAGGGATTGAACCCAGGCCCGTGGCAGTGAGGTGGATTCCTAACCCCTGGATTAGGAAAATATGGATATGGATATGGATTCCCAAAATATGGATATAAATACCAGGAAAAATGCTGAAAGTGGTTGTTCCTGCTTAGTGGAATAATTATGATTGTGTGCATTTGTGTGTTGGAGAGGAGTGCATAAATAGGGGACTAATGTTTTGTTACTGTTAATAAGTCTTTTAGCTGACTTGATTTATGTTTAATGTACATAAAGAGAGCATAGCATGGTGGTTAGATAATTAGATGCTGAAGTCAACTAACCTGGTTTAACCTCTTCCTCTACTACTCACTGGTTGTGTGACCTTGGGCAAGTTTTCTTAACCTTGAGCTTTAGTTTTCTTATTCAATATATAGATAATAGTATCTCATAAAAGTACTGTATTGATCAATATCTTAAGATATGTTATGGGTTGACTTGTGGCCCCCCCAAAAGTTATGTTGAATCCTGACCTCCAGTACCTGTAAATGTGACCTCATTTAAAATAGGACCCTTGCAGGTGCAATGAAGTTAAGATGATGTCTTACTGGAGTAGGGTGAGGTCAAAATCCAATATGACTGGTGTCCTTAAAAGAAGAGGAGAAGAGAAACTCACAAGGAGAATGTTGACAGGCAGAGATTGGAGTGTTGCCTGCATAAGCCAGGGAACATCAGCAATTGCCAGCAACACCAGAGGCTAAGAGAGAGACATGGAACAGATTCTCTCCTGGAACCTTCAGGGAAAGCGTGATCTTGTTAACATTTTGAACTTCTAGCCTCTAGAACTGTGAGAAACTGGAGTTTCTGTTGTTTAAAGTGAAAATGAAGTTGCTCAGTCGTGTCCAACTCTTTGCGACCCCATGGACTGTAGCCTGCCAGGCTCCTCTGTCCATGGGATTTTCCAGGCAAGAATAATGGGGTGGGTAACCATTTCCTTCTCCAGGGGATCTTCCTGACTCAGGGATCGAACCTGGGTCTCCCACATCGCAGGCAGACTCTTTACTGACTGAGCCACCAGGGAAGAACCCTTATGTTTTTTAAAGCTAGCCAATTAGTGGTACTTTTTTAAATGGCAGGCTTAGGAAATTAATATATAAATATAAAGCATATAAGTGGTCCTTGAAACATAGTAAGCAGTAAATGTTAAGCATTAATACTACAACTTTCGTAAAAAAACATTTTTAAGACGTTATTTAAAAGGTGTTAGAAGTCCTCTTCAGTTCAGTTCAGTTGCTCAGTTGTGTCCGACTCTGTGACCCCATGAACCGCAGCATGCCAGGCCTCCCTGTCCATCACCAACTCCTGGAGTCCACCCAAACCCATGTCCATTGAGTTGGTGATGTCATCCAACCACCTCATCCTCTGTCATCCCCTTTAGGAGAGGTTTATACAAAAGGATGTGGCTGTATAGAAGAGGAAGTGGCAGATTCTTCTCATGAAATGTAGAAGGTCTTCTCAGAGGTACTGACATTTGATATAGTTTGAAGGCATTTGCTAGGTAAAGAAGCAAGGAATGATGATTTATGAAAAGGTTTAGCATGTTGTAAGTGGGGCTAATTATGCCTTCTGTCTGTCTGAGGGGACCTGGAGCTGGTGTAGACACATTCTTAGCTGTTGGAGAATCAGAATCCTGTGACTGATTTTCAAAAAACTGTGACCATACTTAATGTCTTCAGGTATTAGGGATAGTTGTCCCCATTTCCTGAATCGTGTGGCTGGTGATAATGGTTCCACCTCCAGAGTGCATGGTTTATCTGTAACCCTGGTCTGTCTGTGTGAGTGCTGAACTTGGTGAGACTCTGAGTCTCATATGATCCTGTAATAGATGGCCCTCAAACCTAGCTCACAGTGTTATGCAGACTCATGCATATTAAAAAGGATTTTTTTTTAGGTATAGTTGATGTACAATATTACATAAGTTTCAGGTGTACAACTTATTGATTCACAATTTTTAAAGGTGATACTTCATTTATAGTTATAAAATATTGACTATATTCCCTGTGTTGTACAATATATTCTTTTAGCTTATTTACTTTATATGTAGTAGTTTGTATCTCTTAATCCTGTACCTCTATCTTGCCAAAAGGGAATTTCTTGAAACTGAAATGTATTAACTCTAAAGAGAAGTTGCAGACTAATTCCTGTTCAGTCTTGTACAGGCAGCAGGTCGGAACTAGAGCTCAGTGGAGTGGTTCCCCATTTATTAACTCCCCTCTGTCACATGTCACTAAGCACTGTGCTAAGTACTGGGGGTGCAGATGTGTGTAAGAGATAGGACTGTCTTCCAAGAGCTTCAGGCTCATGAGGAAATGACCGGGACAAAGATAATTTCAATACAGTGTAATTACATGCTTCGATAGAGGTTGCAGGAAAGGTAATACATGTTCATAAAGAAGAAAATCTGAGATTAGGGCCCAGGGCTTCCGTGGTGGCTCAGTCAGTAAAGGTCTGCCTGCAATGCAGGAGACCCCGGGGTAATCCCTGGGTCAGGAAGATCCCTGGAGAAGGGAATGGTTACCCACTCCAGTATTCTTGCCTGGAGAATTCCATGGAGAGAGGAGTCTGGTGGGCTCTTGTCCATGGGGTCACAGAGTCAGACCCGACTGAGTGAGTAACACTTAGACTACTGATATAGAAGAAAAACTAGTCCAAAGCAGTACATTTTTACCTCTTTAGTTATCAAAAAGTGGTGACATAAGTTGCAGTGCTTTTTTAAGATGTAGATAAAAATCAAGGTTTTAGTTAAAAGATTGAAATAAAATGACATTTATTTAAAATCTATACAAAAATAAAATATATGTGTTATGCTGAATAACTGTTTTATGAGGGACACAAATCACTAATTTAAATAATCATAGGTAATTATGAAAGATTAAAACTAATTCCATTTTTAAAGAAGAAGGAAGTTTGGTTTTAGCAATTAGGATAGTAACAAAAGACTGAGGCAAGTATTAATAGAAATATTTAATTACTTAGGGAATAAAAATAATGTGAATACTATGAGGTTCTTATGTATTTAAAAAAACAGACAAACAGGGTTACTTTCCTTAGACATTAGTAGATAAGTAGAGGAAGTCTGGAGAATAAATCTAATTTATTCTTATTTTAGCAGAGCACTTGATGGTCTAATTTTACTTAAAAATTAATTTAAGTTGTTTTGGATATTTGCAGTGTTTATTTGATTAAGAGCTGAGTGAAGTACAGTACCATACAAAGCACAGATACAGAATTATATTGGTAATTTTAGATAATGAATTTAGAAAATAAAATTTATCAGTACTGCATGTGCTATTTGTATATGTATGTTTAAGGGAAGATTTGAATGTTATTAGTTCTTTACTCAAAAGAATAATTATTCTTTACTTTCACTGACTAGTTTGTTATCTAAAATGGGAAAATTTTGGACTAAAGCATTACTATTTAAAGGTTCAATAATACCATTTTCTTTTTTAGATATTTAAATGAAGCAAAGATTTATTTTACATTGTGATTTTCATTTAAGTTGATGTCTAGGTGAAGATATTTTTTTAAATACCGTGTAGAAAAGTCTGAGATGTGTGGTAATTCTGTGTGCTATTTTTCAGAAAGAATTCTTCGTAGAACTTGGCTTAACTACAGGACAGCTGGGTATAGATGACTCTACACAAGTGCCTCCTGGTTAGTATTTCTCCCATATGGCATGTAATAAAGGAAAATGAGAGTTAGCTTAAGGTTTATCTTGTCATTTCCAATTAATCTAGTAACTTTTTATATCTGTCAACTAACATGCTTTTTGCCTCTCCTTGGTTACTATTAATTATTGTATAGAATCTTGTATATTTATTAGCATTCAATTAAATATTGTCTTTTTATTTTAGGGTCTTTAAAACAATTTTGAAAACTCATAAGACGTATATAAGTCATTTGTTGGCAAAATTTTTCATTGGCAGCACTCATGGTTCCCTTTATTTGCCGTTACTATCTTTATTATTTTTCATATCACCAAGTTAACTGAACACTGACATTCTATCTTGTATAAATAAACATAGGTTTTAAAATTGGTATGTTTTCATCTAGAACATTTCCCCAACATCTCTCTTCTTGTGCCTAAATGCCTGTATTTTCATAAAAGACTGGATTAATATTTAATCATAATAAACAGGAATTAAAAATTGACTTAAAATATGGAAGGTCTGTATTGTTGTACTAATCATAATAGGAGTCAAGGAACTGTTCTTGTCTTTTCCTTTGTCACTGGCTAGTTATGTGACTTGGAAAAGTCACTTTGTATTTCTGGACTTGTTTCTTCCACTGTAAGATAAGGAAGTTGGCCACTTATTATTGTTGCTAATAATAATAATAAACAGCTATTGAGCATATACTATGTATTACATGTGTTTTATATATAAAACAACTCTAGATGTAACTGTATTATTGTCATTTTTAAACCTTTGTTACTGTATAATGCATATAGGAAAGTACATGTGTCCTAAGAGAATGGCTCAACAAATTTTTATAATTGGACACTCCTATTAAATTACCACCCAGATCAATGAAATGAACTCCTTTCCTACCCCCTTTCAATCTTGATCCCCTGTGTCAAAGATAACCACTGTTTTTACTATTCAAGTCTCATCTCTTGCCTCCTCATTCTGTCCTTTCCCCTTCTGCCACCTCCATCCCTGTTTCCACATACACACATGTTCTCTGTCTCTAATCATATTTGAAAAACTGCTGCAAATTTTTCAAGTGTCTAGATTGACGACTCTGCCTCCTCTAAATCTTCTACATCATAATCATCATCACCATCCGTGTTTATAGGATTTCAGCATATCTTCAAGTTCCTTGTTGGTAAGGGTTTCTCTATGCTCTTCTGGGTGGTCCTCAACATTGTCATCAGTTAATTATGTCAGAGAAACCTTCCCTACCAAACTTTCCTTGAAACATTCAAAATATTCTTGATTTCCACATCAATACTGGGGAAGTCCCTGAGTCACTGATTGCTTCATTCCAGAAAGGCCTCCAGCGTGCATCAGGCTTAGGGCATCTCCAGCCTCTGCGGTGGACAAAACCGCATCTGCAACTGTGAAGGTCTTTCGTAAATTGCTACTGTGGCTGCTGCTGCTGTTGCTAGTACTGCAGGCAGGGTTAGCATCCCGGGCAGTGGGGAACCTTCTGCAGGTGAGGTGGATGTAAAATCACCTGGACGCGCCGCTGCAGCGGTGACAAAGAGTTAGGAAACAGGAGCAGCATTCCACATTCTCGTTGGTGAAGCAGAGATTGGGGTTGACCAGGAGCATTCTCAGCTAAGAGGAGGACCTTGAAGTGGCAGCCCCTTCTCTTCATGCCTTACTTCAGGAATGAAGCACTGGTGGAACCCCTCCAAGAACAAGATGGCCTTCACCCAAACCTTCTCGTATTGTCAGAACATGGGCCAGCAATTTTTGTTTTTGTTCTTGCGGGCCTGGGGATTGCTTGCTCAGTAGATGGAGCCTGGCGTGATCACATGACCTGATGCATTACCACACAGCACCAGAATAAGGTCATCTTTCCAGGTCCTGAACCCTGGGGCTTGCTTTACATTCTTATGGAAATAGGTGTTATTGGGCATCCCTTCCAGAACATGCCCACTTCATCACAGCTGAAGATCTGCTCCGGAAGGCAGCCTATCTCTTCTGTAAGTTTTCTGAGCTGTCTGGGAACACTGAAGCTATCTGGGCATCAGCCAGTGTTGATTCTTCCATGATCTCTGAGTTCTTGTGGCTGCAGCACTTCACAGAGCTAGCCAGCCATCCCTGTGAGCCTCAGACTCGGTTCTCCGCAGCCCCTCACAGTGGTGCTCACAGAGGCTAAGTGCTTTTCACACCACATCTTGCTTTCAACAGGAATGTGCTTCTGTGACTCGTCCTCCAGCCACACACTTAATGCCTCTGTAAACATTTTATCATGAACCAGAGACCATTTTTGCAATTGTAGGGGTGGCACTAATACTTCCACATAGTTCAGCTTCTTTCTGCTTTATTTTGCAAATGCTTGGTTCATTTATACTGACCTATAGCTAACCTTGGCAAGCAGCATGAATCTATGACATGGTGGGAGACTACAGCTATATGGGTATGCCATATAGGGTATATATACCCTATGCTATATGGGTATGCCAACATATCAGTTCATTCACACGAATTCAAGTTTTGCTTTTTAGAACCTAGCACACAGCAAATTCAAGATTTGTTTTTTGGAATTTTCTGGAATTTTTTTCAAATATTTTAGTCTGAGTTGGTTGAATCCATAGATGTGGAACCCACAGATTTGGAGGGCTGACTGTATTACAGTAGTGCTGCTGTGAATATTCTTGTGTAAGTCTCCTGGCACACATAGGCACACATTAAGTTTCATATGTGAGAGTAATGCTGCTAACTGTTGTAGGGTTTCATACATTCCGTGTTAGTAGATGTTGCCAAATGGTTTTCCAAGGTGATTGGACTGATTTACACTCCTACCACCTTTGTATGGGAAGCTCATTTGCTCCATTTCCTCTGCATTTAGCCATTGTGGTGGTTGTGTATTTCATAATGTTTTTAATTTCATTTCTCTGATGACTAACATGGTCGAGCATTTTCTCGTATGTTTATTGGTCCTTTGGATTACCTCTTTTGTAAAGAACCTGTTCACATCTTCTGCATATTTGTATTGGATAGTTGTCTTTTTTAAGCTGACTTACTGGGAGAACACAGAAAGGTCTTCTAAGTACAAGACCTTTGCTGGATAGATACATATTGCAAATATATTCTCCCACTCTGTGACTCACCTTTTCACTCTCAGTGATGTCTTTGATGAACAGAAGTTTCTTGGGTCGAATATGACCAAGTTTAGGAGGGTTTTTTTTTTTTTCTATTATGATTGGTACTTTAAAAACAAATTTTTGTTTTCCCCATATAACGTTTATTTTTATAGTGGGATTACCTATATAGTATTAACGCTTTTATTAGGTATGCTTTCATGCTAGTTTAGAGTGGAAGTAGGGGTTTGCAAGTGAAGCTGTCAATAAGTTTTGTTTTTAGGGGAAAAAATCAAAGATGAATGGACAGAATCTTGTGTTATGAGAAGATATTTTATACTATCTTCACAAAGGAAGTTAGTTTATCAATTTTTTCTTCTGATTAAATATACTTAATTTTCTTTTAATATCTATAAACTTTAAACAAATTAGAAAAAAGACTTTTCTACATATATTCTTATAGTTTCCTGTAGAGCTATTCCAGCTTTGAAAATAATTAAAAGCATCAATACTAGAAAAATATACATAATATTATTCTAAATGTGACTGATTATATTTGTTTCTAAAAATGTTATTTTATCATTTTTAGAGCTTTTTGAAAATGAGCATGTACGTATTGGGCAAAAAGGTAAGCTTTTTTAAATTTTTTAATTGGAAGATAATTGCTTTACAATGTGTTGGTTTCTGCTGAACAACAACATGAATCAGCTATTTAGTACACATGTATCTCCTCCCTCTTGAGAAAAAGATAAGCTATTGATTAAACTTATTTTAATTTCTGAAAATGAGATAGTTTTAAGTAAATGTCTGCATCATATGCCCTCATCTGAAATTTAATCCCCCAAAAGCTAAAGACCTAAAAAGGAATCATAATTAACAATGTAGATAAAACAATAGGAATCTTTATAAAGAGGGGAAATGCATCATTTTGGCTTTATCAGTAAACAGCAGATAAAGAAGTACACAGATGATTCACTAAAAAGGAAAAGATAAATGCAGCCACACATTTCTCAAGGATATTAGCTTAATCCATTCAACAATAGAATTTCATTTTAAAATCAGAGTCAGGTTCTCTCTTTGATGCCCACACCCTTCTCATTAATGTTAATAGGAATATGCTCCTGCATCAGGAGAAAGTAATGACTGCCACACTTCCTGGTGACTGTTCACCGTGGTAGGACTTAATAACTGAGCAGCTGTCAGCATTCTGGAGAATAAATTTTCCCCATCTTTTGAAGATTCTTTTCCTTGTTTATATAAATCCTGTTTAGTCTTTGAAATATGAAGTGCAGATATGTCTTTGTGTCAGAATGAACCTTCTGACAGTTATATTATCATGGTCTAAACTCCCTAGTTCAATTTTCAGAATCTAGAGGACTGTGTTTATATGATTTGCTATTTTCATTAAACACAATTGCAAGTTAAAGAATAAGTTTCATCTTTTTATTTCATGTGTTCCCTTTGTTTCTTTTGGTCTTCTCATTTTCATTTAGTGTAAGGTTTTTTCCTTTTTCTTTTAAGGATATAAGAAAACAGTACTGTTAGACATATATTAGCAGATGTCTAGTCTTTCTTCTTTTTTTTTTTTTTTTATATTTTGGTTTTGTTTGTTTTGGAAAGGGGCTTAATTTCTAGATTTAATATTTAATATTTTCATTAAAATAAAAATTAAAACAAAAGGATAATATATTAATTTTGTAAACTTGACTGCTTCTGAATAATCTGGGGCCTTAAAATGTTATTGGATCCTTTGTGTTTTCGTTCTTAAAAAATTCCTCTTTTCTGTTGGTTTTCCTGGAGAAGGAAATGGCAACCCACTCAGGTACTCTTGCCTGGAAAATCCCATAGACAGAGAAGCCTGGTAGGCTACAGTCAATGGGGTCGCAAAGAGTCGGACACGACTGAGCAACTTCACTTCTTCACTTCTTCTGTTGATTTTGGCAGATAGTTAAAAGGTCATCTAATAGAATGGATATCTACATTTCCAGAATTCTTAATCATAATACTTCAAATAGCATACTACTTCCAAATACTAGAACACTCATGACTTAGTAGAATATGCTTAAGAAATTTAAGGTTTCTGTAGATATGACTTGATGTGATCTTCAAATCCAAAATTTATTATATATATGCATCACTAGTTGCAGATCCATGAAACTATAGTTAAAGCACAGGAATTCAAGGTACTTACATTAAAAAACTTTCAGGTAAGGCAGGAGGTGGAGGAGCCTAAGGCTTAAAACGTACAGGACTGTAAATCAGACCACATCAAAAATCAGAGTAAAAGAAGATCGCCAAGATATGTTTTAATTATGTAAGATACAAAGATGAAATGTTAGCTTCCTTAAAAAAATTGTGAAGATTTCAGTGTCTTTCTTACATTACACATTTTCTAATGAGACTCTAATATGCTTTTTTTTTTTCTAACATACTTTTAACAGTTCTAACAGAACAAGATAGTGCTGCCGCTCAGCAGTATGTCAGACAAGGAAGTCCTACCGCCCTGAGAGCCGAGCTGTGGGCTCTCATCCTGAATATCTCCAGCCACCCCGAGGTGAGGGCGAGGCGCCAGACCTGATGTCTGTGCCTCAGAGAGCCGTGTTTCAAAGCAGAAATATTGTCTGTTAGCCTTTTATTTATCCCCGTTTAAATTTTCAAATCCACTGTAGTTTAGAGTTGTACGATAGGATTAATGTATAATGTAATCACTATGTATTTAACACAGATGTTTTTATATTAATAATTAATTGGGTAGTGTGAATCTATACATAAACAATAAGTGTAGGATTGGCCAGAAAGCTCATTCAGGCTTTTCTGTAAGATCTTATAGAAAAACCCAGTGACCGTTGTGGTCAACTCCATAAAAGTTTAATAAGTGGAGTCCGCCAGTTTAGGTCACTGAGGATGTATTGTGGAATTGGGGATAGAATAGGGTGAGATACAGATAGACTACCCAGTATATGTAAATGAGTACTTTGTCCCTACAGTTACTTTGAAAATGTGCACCATTTTTATAGCTCTAAAAATTGACATTTTATGTGGGAATGTTATTTTCCTAAGTATAAGAATGTTTTATTTTAGGAAATAAAATGAAAATGAAGAGAAATCACCAACAGACAGGTAATAGATTCAATGAAGAAAAAATATGTAACACATTCTTTTTGAAATATTTTGAGAATTTTTTTTTTTTGCTTAAGCCCATTGAGCCTACAAACCATTGACTTAAATATTGTAATAAATAGCAAACTAATAGTTACAGCAAACTAATGGTTCACTAGACAGTGGTTAAAAACATGGGTTTTCTTTGAAATCATACAACCTACTTTCAACTCCAAGCTCCCCCAACTTATTTGAAATAAGTTGCTGAGTGAGATAAATTTCTTCAAACCTCAACTTACCTATGCTTAAATATGGGTAATAATTTTTATATCACAGAGTGGTTGTGAGAATTAAATAAAATGTGAGTCTTTTATTAACACAGTCCCCGATATAACAGGCCACCACTAATGGTAGCAGTAATAATTATATATTGCATATAATTATAAATCAGTCATAATTGATAATATGTAATAATTCTATGCACATATAATTATATACACACATATACACATATATTAAAATTACATATAATTATAATGGCAATATTATTAATAATAAATTAATCATATTGTATTAATCATACATTAATCATAATTTAAAATAATGCTGTTTTTCAGAAAATCAAACACTAACATAAGTATTATAAAAGCTATACCTCTGGCCTTTGCAGATTATGTATGTATGCTTGTGTGTGTGTGTTTGTGTGCATGCATGTATGTGTGTTTTAAATCTCCCTCTGTGAACTGTTACTTTAAAAGTAACAGTTGACAAAACAGTTTAGAGTGTACTTTAGGCCTTTTTTTAGTGCATCAGCTCTTGTAGAAGAGGTGGTAATTCTTGTTCTGATCTAACTGTGTAGATCAGAGTTAGATCACCTACCAATTTCATCGACCAGCAGCTAAGTTAACAAGTCCTGTCTCTGCAGAGGAACTACTTCCCTCTCAAAAATAGATTTAGAATTTTTCCAGAAGTATCATTGTAGAATAAAAGTAGCAATCCCAAATAATGATTGTTACAACGTTCAGCAGCTGTTTTTACACTTGCATTCTGGAGTTAATGATCTTGATTTTCTGTACTCAAAATGACAGATCTGTAAATAGAAATTAATATCAGAAAGGCAATCTTGATTTTATTGAATAAAACACTTTCTATACCTTACACTTTTATATTCACTGTAAAGGTGTTACCTGCACACAGTATAGCAGCTCCAAAATAATTGTTGTAGGTGGTACATTAGAGGAGGGAGAGAGGGAGAATATTTCTTCTTACGAAGAATTCTTTATCAGAATGTTTTGTTCAGTTACTTTTCAATCACTTAAAATAAGCTACACATGCAAATGTATCATAGTTAAGGAGATACATAAACAGAATATTTCAAATTTCACACCCGCAAACCTGTTTTAAAAATCTTACCTCCTTAGAAAGACTTGGTATTTAATGCTTTGAGTTCCTAGCAGTTAGTTTATTTAATACTTTTATTAGAAAATTATTTAACTTTGATTTTTTTTCTCTTTTAAAGAAAATATGTGATAAGCTTAAAAGCATTGTCTTTATATATTTTCTATAGATTTCTGGATCAAAATACCCATATTTAGCAAACATTCATATTTAAATTTTTGCTTAATTTCAGCTTGCTAGTTAAAAGAAGATAGCAAATTTTCTTTTACTTTGCTCTAAGTTCTTACTTACTGATAAAATAGTTAAGATGAGTATTAACATTTACGATTTCCTTTAGTGATTTCACAACAATGTTCTCCACAGTCTGACCTAAAGGTCTCCAGCAATGCCTGACCATCCTAGATCTTTCTGGTCACACTTACCTCATCTTCCCGGTGTCTGTTTCTGTCCTTCACTCTCCTCAACCACTTCTTTTCACAATCTTAGCAAAAGATATCACTTCCTCTTAACCAGAAAAAACATAAGTCATCAGAAGGAACTTATCCAAATTCTTTCCACGAAACCTGTGAACTTTATTGTGTCAGCACCCGTTCTTGCCTCCTCTACTTTTATATCTAAATTTTGTGAAAAAAAATTCTATGCTGAATGCTCCTACTTTCTTAATCCCATAATCACTCAGTCTACCTTATTCTGGTATATATTCTACCAAATGACGATAACTGTCCTAGCTAAAGATACCAAAAACAGTGGACGCATTTTAGTCTTTACATTTTACTGGATTTGATACTATTATCTATTCTGTCCTCAAAATATTCTTGGCCTCTAATTCAGTTCATCCTTTTTTTTTAGTTATTTCCCTCTTTCTTTTTTTTCAAGTCTGCATTTGGGCTCCGGCACAAACCTTAAGTGCTTGTGTTTTTCAGAGTTCAATTTTGATCTTCTTTTCATTCTGCACGTTTTTCTTAGACCGGTTCACCGATCGTTGTTTTCTGTAATGGCTTCAACTCTGTTTTCAGTCAATCGTTGTCTTAAGTCTAAAACTTTTATTTCCAGTTTCCTACAGAACTCTTAATACATGCTCCAAAAGTATATCAGACTCATGATGTCTAAAAGAAAAGGCATAATCTTTACCTCAGTGCATTTATGGCCATGCAAGAAATGAATTGTCTCTCCACCATGCTGTTCTCTCCCTGAAAAAAAAAAAGCCTCAGACTTTTTTCTTGTTGGGTACTCTCCTGTTCTTTTACGTGCAGCTTATTCTGTCACCTTTCCTGAGAGACCTTCCTGACCTCTCCTCTCCCTTATCTTCTCCTGGCTCCATCACTGCTACTGGTAGAGACTTCCTTCTTCTTCCCCCTGTGGAGCAATGACCTGAAGTCAGAGAGACAGATACCATGCTTCTTACTTTGTTTGTCCGCCTCCCTTTCTACGCTGGGCCTTCCTTGGCTCAGATGGTAAAGAATCTTCCCCAATGTGGGAGACCCAAGTTCAGTCCTTCAGTTGGGAAGATCCCCTGGAGAAGGAAATGGCAGCCCACTCCAGTATTTTTGCCTGGAGACTTCCATGACCAGAGAAGCCTGGCAGGCTACAGTCCATGGAATCACAAAGAGTCAGACACGACTGAGCAACTAACAAGTTCATGTTCTTTCTAGATTGAGTACCTGGGGACAGGAATTGTTTTCTTCTTCATCATCTTAATGTCAGTATCTTGTACAGTGTCTGAAAATGATAGGCTCATCTAAATGCTTACTGAACAATTAAGTATAAAATTTTAGGACTCTTTGTGAGTTCTTTCATTTTTTAAGTATATATTTTCTTCTTCTCTTTAGTTAAGTGGATAGTCTAAGTCTGAATAAAATACCAAATAGATAAATATATTAAAATTATTCTCTGATGCTAAAAATTTGGGCCACTTTGCTTTTCAAAGATTGCTTTTATAATCATATTTTATTGCTCTTAAATGTCTATTTGCCAGGGCTTATACAAAGTACTCTTTAAATATTCTATTATTGGTGATTGTTTTGTTTTATAAATTGTTTTCTTATAATGTCTTTGTCTGCTTTTAGGGTAATAGAATGAATTAAAAGGTATTCCCTCTGCTTCTGTCCTGTGAAGGAGATTGTAGAAGACTGGCAGAATCTCTCCCTTAAATGTTTCGTGGAATTCACCAGTGAGCCACTCTGGGCTTTGTACTGTCTATTTTGGAAGGTTATTAATTATTAAATGAATTACTTTAATAAATCTAGGCCTATATACATTGTTTCTTCTTGTGTGAATTTTAGCAAATTTTCAGTAAAATCTTTTTCAAGTAATTGATCCATTTCATCTAGGTTATCAAATCTGTGGGCAGGGAAGTATTCCTAGTATTCCTCTATTATCCTCTTAATGTTCAAAGGATCTTTCACTTCTGATTTGGGTAATTTGTGTCCTTTCTCTTTTTTTCTTAATTAGCCTAGCTAAAGGCTCATCAGTGTTCTTGATCTTTTCAATGAACCAACTTTTGGTTCCAATGATACTTCTCTATTGATTCCTATTTTCAATTTTATTTATTTATGCTCTATTCTTATCATTTCTATTCCTCTGCTTACTTTCAATTTAATTTGCTCTTCTTTTCCTAATTTCCTAAGGTAATTCCTAATTTTCCTAAGGTAAAAACTTAGTTTATTTTAGGTCTTTCTTGCTTTCTAATATATGCCTGCATTTAATTCTATAAATTCCATGTAAGCATTGCTTTTACTGCATTCCCCAAATTTTGATGTTACCTTTTCATTTAGATCAAAATACTTTACAATTTTTCTTGAAATTTCTTCTTTGACCCATGTGTATGTTGTTTAATCTCCATGTATTTGGATATTTTCCAGTTATCTTCCTGTTATTGGTTTCTAGTTTAATTCCACTGTGGGTCTGAGAGCAGACGTTTTAGGATTTCTGTTCTTTTAAATTTGTTAAAGCTATGTTTTATGACCCAGAATGTGGTCTGTCTTGGTGAATGTTCCGTGTAAGCTTGAGAATCATGTGTGTTTTGCTGTTGTTGGATGAAGTAGCATATAGGTGTCCATCGTATCCAGTTTATTGGTGGTGGTGTTGAGTTCAACTTTGACCTTACTGACCTTCTGCCTACTGAATCTATTTCTGATAGAGAAATGTTGAAGTTTTACTTCAATTGGAAATGCATGGTTTATTTTATAAATGATGCTGATGACCATCCTTCTGAAGGAAAACAATCAGACCTTTGGCTTACAAAATATAAAAATAAATTCCAGGTAGGTTATAAAAATGTAAATTTAAAATATCACTTTTAGAAAAAATTAGGAAAATATTTACATAAATATGTGGTGTAGGAGAGCCTTGCCTAAGGCAAGCAAGAGAACCCAAATCCATAAAGAATTTTGAAAAATTTGTCAATGTATACTGTAAACAAAAACAACACATATTAATTTGAAGAAAAAGTATTTGTAACACAAATGACAAATGTTAATCCCCAGAATAGATAAAGGATCTGACAAATTAATGAAATAAATGTAATCTAACAGAAAAATATGCAAACCATGGAAGTGAAAGTTCAAATGGCCAATAAGCATATGAAAGAAAGTCGACTTTATTAGTATTTGAGAAAGTCTAAATTAATACAACAATAAGATAACCATTATTTTTACCCATGGAAAAGTTAAAATGGTGAAAGTCACTCAGTAAAGGCATATGTACATGAGGATATATATTGTAGTATTTGTAGTAACAAACAGCTAGAAACACCTGAGTAGCCATCTATAGGGGAATGGTTAAATAAATTGTGACATAGCTGTAGTACAGTTTTAAAAATATTAAAGTTTATGTGTTGATACTTATTTAAAAGACAGAGAGAGATGACCGTGACACAGCACTAGAAACTGAAAAATAAGTATATTATGATTCCATTTTATGTTAACAAACAATAGCTAAAACCCTTAAGTATGATTATGTATTTATATAAGCATGGAGAAAAGTATGCAAGGATATAAGTTACAAATAGTGTTATTAATACAAATATGAATAACTAGTTTCTTCAGCGTGGTGGGAGGGAAGAAGAAAAAAAGAGTATTAATTTTCTTTATCCAGCTCTAGATTGTTTCACTTATTTTAATGGTCGTATATCAGTTTGTAATTTTAAACTTTTTATTTTTAAAAAGTGACGTAACTATAAACAGCTTTTCTGCTACGTTCACTAGAAAACACTAAAGTATAATAATATGCCCTTTGCCAGCTGTCAGGATTGGTGTTTGAATTGGGTGCTGTTCCTACCTTTAAAAATGTTCTTTTATTCTAGCTAGAGAGGTAGATTTAATAAATATAATAGAAGGCAAATAAAATAGTAAAGTAATTTTTCTTTAGGTAAGAAATCAAAACATCATGAATGAGAACAAAATAAGGCTTTTTGATTAAAATTAAAATGACTAAAAATAGCCAGCAAGTCCCTAGATTATCTTTATGTGATGAGCCTTTTGACTCAAACCAGAGAATTGTGTATCAAGCATTTTTTAAGACAGAGAAATTGTATTTCAGGAAACGTAGGTTTGGACACCACCTTGCCATGGCCGCTGCATGCATCAGATATTCTTCTTTGTCCCAGGTGATCCTGTCCCACAACTCTTATTTGTTTGAGGGACTGTCTTCAGAAAGAATCACACAGACTGCGGTGTACTGAGGGAGCCAAGCAGTATTTGGATAGGGGTGGAAACCAGGGCTAGAGTCCCCGAGAGATGGACGGAGGGATCCAGAGAAACGCAGGGATCAGCTTCAGTAGTCAGATGATATTTCCATCTCTCTTTAACACAGCTACTACCCACTTAATCTTGACCTTTTTCAATCTTTATTTTGAACACCTGACCAACTATTAGCCTGTCCCTTAACTGGATTACATCTTAACATCCTTCCTCCCCCTTTCTCTTCCTCTGTCTTTTCTTCTTTTTCCTTCCCCTCTTTTCTCTCCTTCCTGTCCTTCCTCTCTTATTTTTATTTCTTACTCTCTATTAAATGACTTCCCTTGTGGCTCAGCTGGTAAAGAATCTGCCTGCAATGCGGGAGACCTGGGTTCAATCCCTGGGTTGGGAAGATCCCTCCAGAGAAGGGAAAGGCTACCCACTCCAGTATTCTGGACTGGAGAATTCCATGGACTATATAGTCCATGGGGTCGCAAAGAGTCGGACACGACTGAGCGACTTTCACTTTCACTTCGCTTTCAGCCTAATCTTATCACTGTTTAGAGTTAATTCGATTTTCTAATATCATGGTACCATATTATTTGTCTTAACTGATTTTTTTGTGCTAAAATTTTACTAAATTCTTTATAATTTAAAAAAATTTATTTTATGTTGGAGTATTGCTGATTAACAGTGTTGTGTTAGTTTCAGATGTACAACAAAGTAAATCAGTTATGCATCATATACATGTATCTATTCTTTTTCAAATTCTTTTCCCACTTAGATTATTACAGAATATTGAACAGAGTTCCTGGTGCTATAGCTGATTTTTATTTAATTTTTAAAAGCCTTGACTCAGATTTAAAGAAAAGTACACTACTGATTCTGTTGATCAATGTCATTAAAAGTCCTGAACCCTTATCATTGTCCATTAGCCAGATGCGATGAGAATGTTTGACATTATCTCTTAAAAACTTACATACTTTTCCAACCTATGTTTAAATCATGTACACGTTAGCTATATAGCATTCTGTATAGTTACAGCCATTATATTTTGAACTAAAAATGAATAAAGAAATTTTTTTCAAAAAAATCCTGATTTTTTTTTATATGATGTATGATAGCTTTTACTACCAGGGGTGATTTAGTATGCTTAAATTTTTTATTTTATAATAATTTAGATATTACAAAGGCAGTATAGAGCAGTCAGTCTGGGTTTTTATATAGGTTCTGGGAATTTCCTGGAATCAAATCTTACTACCTTTGTGGCCTTGAACAGAAAGTAACTTCTTTCTCTGGGCCTCAATTTCTCAAATGTAAATGGGAATAATAATCATTGAACAGGTTTATTTTGTTGATATGAGATTAAATAGATTAACATGCATATTGGGTAAAACAGTTCCTAGTAATTACTTAATAAATACTACATTTACTATTAAAGTTAAATTACAGTTAAATCAATTTAGCAAACATATTAAATACCTACCAGGTACCAGATTTTATCTTAAGGGATGGGATTAGGTCTATTTATTGATCATCAGCTATTAGCCAGGCATGGAGACTCTAGTAATGAATAAAATAAAGCCCTTATTCTCTTAGTGTATATAATACTATTAATGATCATTATTTATTAAAATTTGAGGCTGACTTTATAAATTATTGACTTTTAATATTTTTGTTTTTCTTTTAAATCTAGGATATTTTATATTATGAGCAGCTTAAGACAAATGTGATACAACATGACCTTTTGGTGGACAGTCTAATTTATAAAGTAAGTAAAGCTATAAGTTTTTCCATTTCATTAACATTAAGCAATTATCAAGAGTCTTCTTCATGTAGGTACTGTACTATCTATGATGATACATATTAACCTTGAAAAATAATTTTAAGTGATCATTATACTTAGGATGATAAGGTTGACCTTCAAAATCTGCAGTTTCTATTCAATGTTATCTTTCACTTTGCTGTCTTCACAATCCTTTCTTGACCCTCCCATTTATTGATTAAGTGAATGATATTTCTTGTCCTTATAAATTCCAGTTTTCCACTCAAACTATACAGAAAATCTACTAAAAGAAAAAATCAGATTATGGATTTCTTCATCTTATTTATCTCACAGTTTTTTAGAGCCTGCTTGTTTATTTTATTATATTGAAGTCACAGCTTATTTTTAATTTCTTTTGATTTCTAGACATAGAGTTAAACAGATCTCAAGTTTTATGATAGGGATTCATTGAGTTTTTGTTTTTAGGCATCTGTTATTGAGAGTTGAGATGTAAGTGCTGAAAGCATGGTATAGTGTTTGACTGATTCTGGATTCATAATTGAGTTGTTTAAAAGACTTAGATTTTAGATTTAGAACTTGTAAGATAGAGGAGAAAGGGCGTATTTTTCCAGATCTCAGAAACAGGGGAAAAAAGAATCAAAGATTTGTCTGGGTAGAACATAACAGAAGTTAATAATAACAGTGACTGCTAGTGTTTAATGATTGCTTACTGTGTGCTATACAGTGGTCCAGACTCTTTACATAGATTGGCATCTGATCCTGACAGCTACCCCAGGGGAGTAGATACTGGCATTTGGGCTGTAAATGAGAATTCTTTTTTTTTTTTTTCTGAAAAAAAAAAAAAAAAAACAAACCTTGCATTCTACAGGATCATGCATTAAAAATAATAGAGCTTATAGGAAAAATAGGGTTGGGGTAGCTTTTGCAACTTTATAGCCAAAGTGCTAACAGAAAGAATCATTGGGAGATGAACTGGACAGCTCAGGCAGGCTGCTCCCGCTGGAATTATTAAAAATGGACAAAACTAACAAAGGGTAAGCGCTAAGATAATTCAGTTGCACAGAGCCACTGGGGCTGCTGTCCAGGGGGGCACAGGAGGAAGTGCAGCAGTTAGGAGATGTGCAGGGCTGGGGGTGCGCCTCTCCGGAGACAGGGACCCCGTGCAATCATTCATTTTCCGTTCTCTTGAAATTTCCATTCTCTTGAAAATAGGCAAAGGGCTCATGCCTGCAGAAGGCTTTTCCCTTTCCTGCTGAAGGATGTAATTCTACTTCTGCTGTTCTGACTTCTCTTTTTAAAGGAAAATTGCATTTGAACCAACACCATTCTCATGTTATCCTGACATCATTTCCGTACTCACCAGCCACATATTGATAACATGTATTATAGCAAAGTAGGAAGTATTAATACTGTTACTTTACTGTCTTACAGGTGAGGGAACTAAGGTAAACAAAGAGTAAAGAAATCTGTTTAAATTCATATATTAAGTAGTAAAGCCAAGATTTGAATCTAGGTAATCTGATTTTACAACCATACCTTTAACCACTATGCTCTACAGGGAGGAGGATCAGGAGAGTTAAGAAGATGCAGTCTTTTGATGAAAAGTCTTGACTCTTGAAAAACTCTTGAAGTTTTTACATAGATTTGGATCAAGGTACTGCTACCGACTTTGAGGTCAAATGAGTGTACACAGGGGATTATCTTAGCAACAGCCTAAGAGATCTTTGGGGCTTTAAGACTTTTAATCCCCTCTCTGTTCAAATGAGAGAAGTATCACAAGAGAAGTTCAAAAAATCCAAGAGTGCTCACATGAAAGTCCTTTGCTGCCCACATGAATTTCAGTTAGAATCAGTAAAGCAAATCTGTCATGAGAAAGCAGTAAACAGCTTGTGTCTGAACAGTCGAATGTAAGTTTTGTTAGAGTCAGTCCTGACGGTCCACAGCATGAGTGTTTACTCATGTTAGTTAAACTCTGCTGATCTTACTGGAGCAACTCCAAATAGTATTAAAGTCAGCCCTTAAGGGAATGAGCATTAAAAAAATAATCATTTGAAGTTTCATTACAACTCCCTTTGGCAAAGATTCATTTTTAATTTAACTGAAAATAAAGTAGAATTATTTTAGCGGTTAAAGAAATGAAGGAAACAAGGCAATACTTAAGTACAGAACATCGTCAAACCCTCCCTAAGCTAAAATATCTAATGATTCTCTCTGGATTGTATTTTTTTTCTCACAAACTTGCCCTGAATCCACACCATCTATAATTTTCTACCACTTACTGTGATCTGACAGTTCATATCAGTGTCTCTCAACCTTTTCTTCATGTAAGAAAAAATTTTCTCTAATATAAAAAATTAAATACCAAAGAATAAGATTCTGTTGGATAGAACAAGCTTTGGAGGTCCATAAGCCATTGTACTATGTAAAAAATTTTGATCCCCAGAAATGAAGCCCCCTTAGAGGCAACATCATCCTCCTTGAGATTGCATGATCTCTACTTCTGCCCATGTTGTGACTTAGACTGGCTCCTTTCTTTTCTCTTAATTTGTGTCTTTCAGTTTTTCTAGGCTCAGCACATATTCACTATCTCTAGGGTCATCCACAAGTCATTTTATCCTCCTCTAATTGCTGTTTTGATCAATAGCCCAATTGAATCTTGTAGGTTGGAAATATTTTCATAGATTTCTATGATATTTGCATAGATTTATATTACATTTATAATTATATAATTATAATATTTGCATAGATTTCTGTAATATTTCTTTGGGGCGTGTAACCAGTATTTCTCATTCTCCAATATTTATACCATGTATGTTTTCTTCCTGGTGAGATTGAAGATAAACTTTGTCTTGTTTGCTAACAAGTGATGACTTGCAAATGAATAATTACAAAAACATCGAAGATTTTTGGTATTTTGATGGAATGGCATGAATGTGGGCTTGAATGATGGAGGACCAGACTGAACAGCAATTTGATGCCAGATTTTTACAGTTGCTTTTGTACATTGTGATTGCAAATGCTTTTCTAATTTTAAGATGCCTAAACATTAGATTCAAAGGAGATAAAATTGAAATAAATAATAAGAAATTACTAATAGAACCCAAACAAGTGTACACAATTTGAAGTCAAGTAATGTGTCACGTATATTGTCAAGTAACCTAATAAATTTATTTCTGATAAATCCAGTGATAAAATCTAATTGAGAAGTTTATAATTATATGTGAAGTAATAAAATCACTTCAGTATTATTTCTATATGTTACATTTATGTCTTAGTACTAGAAACATACTCATTTAAGTTCTTTTCAGTGCTCTCTACTTTTAATTATAGGATGTGAAATTGACAGCAAGCAATGATGATTATTATTTTGTATTTGAAGATTATTTATATCAGGTAAGTTTAAAACTTAAAATATATAATATTCTTGTTTTAAATTCTCTAACTCGGGCTACTTCAGAAAATACCTCTGTTGTTAACTGAATCCTCCTAAAATCCACACCTTGTTTCTTTTTTATCAAATTAAATTTTCCAAGTTTGGGACCAGGTTAACCTTCGTTCTTACAAGGGACTAGGGGGACGGTAAGAGCTGCGTCCCTGTTCCAGCCAGGAGAGGCACAGGCGCAGGTTCGTAAACTGAGTGTCCCTTCATATTCCAACTGTCCCAAGGGGTGTAGAGAAAGCATTTTTACATGGTACTTTTCTGTTAAAGGTCTTGAGTTAAATCATTAAGTGCTTTGAAATCAGCTTGAAGAGTTGTGATTACTCTTTGATTACATCATATGGTGATACTGTGGATATTTGGATTTACCTAGGTCTTTCTCATATCTGATAAAATAGAAACAAAATAGAAATATCATAGTTAGGAAATATGTGATTTATGTAGAATTGCTTAAATGATATTCTTTTTTTTAAAGATCACACACACATAGATAGATAGAAGATAGATAGATAATATGATCTTGAATGAATGTCAATATGTGTCATGGAAAAAACATCTAGATTCCACATGGCAGTCTCTGCTTGACTAAATGTAAATCAGTCCCAGATGTCTAATTAGCAGGTCTCTGATGGTAATAGTGATTGTAGTTGTGTATCTGTTTAAGAAAAGAGTTAAGAATCTCTGTAGAAGGTTTAATTAATTGTCTATTCCAAGAACTAAAGTCCAAAAGATTTTATAAAATTTATTTATAAAATTAAAATTTGAAATAACCTTAGGAAGAATTTTAAGGGAATTTCCATGATTTCAAATATGCCATTAATTTTTAAAATTTTAAAAACAGTTAAGACTTAAAATCCCATTCTTTCACATACTGTTATTGATTAAAATTTGGACAATATAAAAACCTTAAAGTTTATTTACTTATGTAGCAAATATGTAGCCTGATACCTATTTTTTGGTACTCAGTCAAACTTTGAATGTACAATAAAGTTAAAGCTTCATTTATATAGTAAGTTTTGTTTCTGCACTGAAATACTGAGTAGAAATTATCGCTTTTGGTATTGTAGCATAAGGAGGTTCACAGAACCACCCCTGTTAGAAAAAGCAAAACCAGTGAAAATTATTTAAAAAGCAAAAAAAAAAAAAATTAAAGTATCTGGAAACTGTCTTAAGATTAGATGTCAAGTCAGCAAATAAAAACATTTATTCAGGAAAAGTGACTAAGTCTCAAAACAGTCTGTAGCACTTGAGCCATGATGCACTCTCTCCCTCCTCTTAGCCCCAGATCATCATGATGGAAGCTTCAGTTCAACTGAGTGTGGCTAGGAAGATGGGGTTCCTTTTCGTGTAATTTCTAGCCAAAGACTGCAGTATCTCGGTAGAAGACTCTGTGCTATGCTTAGTCGCTCAGTCATGTCTGATTCTCGGCAACCCCATGGACTGTAGCCTGGCTCCTCTGTCCATGGGGATTCTCCAGGCACTGGAGTGGGTCGCCATGCCCTCCTTCAGGGGAGCTTCCCAACCCAAAGATCAAACCCAGGTCTGCTGCATTGCCGGTGGATTCTTTATCATCTGAGCCACCAGGGAAGCCCATGAAAGGTTCAGGTAACCAGCATTTCTCTTCCTCCTCAGCTCTGTGTTGCAGATGCAAAATTCAGAAGAATGCTGCCATGAAGTCAGGGGCTTCCTGCCTCCACTCAGAGGGCAGCCCTCTGTCAGGAGCAGGCTTGAGTCAGCTCCATGACTTGTTCTCTGGAGTGGCTGCACCGGCGTGCATTCCTGCCAGCAGTGTGCTAGGCTTCAGTCTTCTCTGGACCCTCCCCAGCACTTGTCTTCTTTTTTTTTTTTTTTTTATCCTGGAGATTCGGGCTACCATGGGGTCGCAAAGAGTCGGATACGACTGAGCACACACATGCATGCATGCAAACTTAATTTCCGGTATATATCAAGAGAAATGTCTTTTTTTTTTTAATGGTAGCCATTTTAACAGGTATGAGGTGATAACTTTCTGGTTTTGATTTGCATTTCCCTGATGATTAGTGATGTTGCATACCTTTTCATGTACCTGTTGGCCATTTGTATGTCTTGTTTGGAAAAGTTCTATTAATTTCCTTTGCCCACTTTTTAATTGGTTTTTGCTATTGAATTATAGAATTCTTAATAAATTTTGGATATTAGCCTCATATCAGACATAAAATTTGCAAATATTTTCTCCCTTCCTGTAGGTTGCCTTTTCATTTTGGTTTTAGTTTCTTTTGCTTTATAAAGGTGTTTAGTTTGATATAGTTTCACTTATTTATTTTTGCTTTTTAGCTTGTGTTTTGCTATCTTCCGTGGTGGTTCAGATGGTAAAGCGTCTGCCTACCATGTGGGAGACCTGGGTTCAATTCCTCGGTCAGGAAGATCTCCTGGAGAAGGAAATGGCAACCCACTCCAGTACTCTTGCCTGAAAAATCCCATCCACAGGGGAGCCTGGAAGGCTACAGTCTATGGGGTTGCAAAGAGTCGGACACGACTGAGCGACTTCACTCACTCACTATCATAAAAGGAAATTACTATGAAGACCTAAGTCAAGGAACTTTTTTTTCTATGATTTCTTCTAGGAATTTTATGGTTGAGGTCTTATGTTTAAAGTTTTAAGTCCATTTCAAGTTCACTCTTGTGAGTGGTATAAGGTACAAGTCTAATATCATTCTTCTGCATGTGGTTATCCAGTTTTCCCAACCCTGTTTATTGAAGATACTATCTTTTCTCCACTGAGTTTTCTTGGCTCCCTCGTTAAATATTAGTTAATTATGTGTGTGTGGTTTATTTCTGGACTCTCGGTTCTGTCCCATTGGTTCCTGTGTCTGCTGATTACTATAACTGTAGTGTAGCTTGAAATCAGGAAGTGTGATGCTTTGTTATTCTTCCTTGAGATTGCTTTGTCTCCTCAGTTTCTTTTCTGGCTCTATACAAATTTTAGAATTGTTTTTCCATTTCTGTGAAAAATGCCCATTGCAAATTTTAATAGGAATTGCATTGAATCTGTAGATGACTTTGGGTAGTATGGCATTTTAACAGTGCAACTTCTGATCCGTGAACATAGGCTGTTGTTCCATTTGTGTCTTTTTCTGCTTCTTTCATCAAAGTCTTGTAGTTTTAAGTGTGCAGATCTTTCACCTTCTTGGTTAAATTTATTCCTTAGTATTTTATTGGTCTTTTTTATGCTATAGTGAATGAAATTATTTCTTTTTCAGCTGTTTTGTTCTTAGTGTATAGAAACACAGCTGTTTTCTGTATATTGATTTTGTATCCTGCAATTTTACTGAATTTTACTGAATTTCATTGATTAATTCTGGCAGATTTTGGATGGAGCCTTTAGGATTTTCTAAATATAAGATCATATCATCTATATGTAGAGATTATTTCTTTCTTTCCTACTTGAAAGTGAAAGTGAAAGTTGCTCAGTCATGTCCAACTCTTTGCAACGCCATGGACTGTACAGTCCTTGGAATTCTCCAGGCCAGAATACTGGAGTGGGTAGCTGTTCCCTTCTCCAGGGGATCTTCCCAACCCAGGAATCCAACCCAGGTCTCCACATTGCGAGCAGATTCTTTACCAGCTGAGCCACCAGGGACACCCATCCCTACTTGGATGCCTTTTTTTTTCTTTTTCTTTCCTAATTGCTCAAAATGGTCCTGTAAAAACACCAATCAACTCGTGTTACTTGTGATATTAAATCCCAAACACCGAAATCCTTCACAAGGCCTGGATGACCCTGCCTGCGCTGGTTCACATCTCTCGCCTCATGGCTCACCTCTGCGCTAACCCTGCGGCACTGTGCGTTCCAGCACCTCTGACCTCTTACCTTCAGGGCCATCAGACCTGCAGTTCTTTTGATGTAAAAGACTGTTGCCTTCCCCTCTTCCTCTACTAAATTCCTATTTTTCCTTCAGCTTTCAATACCTTTTTTACAAATTTGCTGTAATTTTTTACAAATTTATTTACAAATATCTTTCCTGACCTACTCTGCTTCTCAGCAGGACACATACATAGGGTCATGGCCTTGTGTTTTGTGTGATTACATATTTATTGTCATTGTAGAGGGCTGTAGATTTTCTTCAGTTAAGAGTTTAGTTCTAGATGTGAAGGATCTTTTTATGAACTGACTTCTAAATGAAACAAATTAGTTAATGTTGTACAATATTAAAAATATGAAACAAAAGTTTTTGGTCCTCCCTATGATAGCTATTTAGATCCTGAACATGAAATTATTATGACACTAAACATGAATACATAAATTATAATATCATCCAAAGGACAATAATCATATAGTTTGTAGTGTGTTGACTATTCTACTCCAGTGTGTAGGTAGAGAAAGTGGAAATGTCATAATTTCTGCCCCTTTGGTGGCTGGAGAGAAGAGGATTTAAATTCACAGCTACAAAGGCTTTTTGGTGGTGGTGAAAGGGACTTGCCAGACCAAAAAACCTACCTCATTTGATGAACAGGGTCTGTAAGGATAACATTTTAAATTAGAGTCGTTACAGTTTCTCCACATAGTGCCAGAATTAACCCTTGAAGACCTACTCATCTTTGTGTACCACATAAACTTGGGAAACTTAAAAGTGACAGAGTATGACAAACATAACTATTTATAAACAGTGGATGCATTCTCTGAGAAAAAGCAGAGTGGTCATCAGTAAATATTTACTGATCCTTATATATAATGATACCACCTTTGATGGGCTTACATTCTAGTTAAAGAGACAAAAACATTTTGAAATTGTTTTAAAGTATGTGTGTAAAGCATTAGGTATTAAATTAATCAATATCACAGATAGTAAGTACTATAGGAGTATACTTTGACCTTTGTTTTCCATTTTTAATCAATATTTTAGTCCAAATTATATTATTTTTAGATTTCCTATAATTTTTTCAGTCCTAGATCTCATAGCCTCTGCTATTCTCT